AAACAGAATTAAGTTTGATTGATGAAAGAGTCACTACGATTCAATTGTCTCAAGCGAAGTAACAATAGCATGGGATAAATTAAATTTTAAAATACTGACGGCTTAAATTAAAATCTCTTCACTCACATCCGTATTCCCTTACGAATTGCTTCTTTAAAAACAATAATTCATCTCGATGCTGCCAATAAAGTCTGCCCGCCAGCAGCTCGCTAGAAAAGAAGTCACAATGTCATCAGATAAACATTTGCTGATTTAAAATCGCCTTAAGACAAAGATGTCATTTTCATCTTCTGCTTTGTCTTCCGTTCCAACACTCCGTATTCTTGCAATTTTAAATAATTTATTGGCTTCTCTATATTTCAAATATCCCTATCTGGCTCTCTCTATGTCTAGCATGTCACGCGCAATTTCCATGGAAAATGATCGGACGAGCCACATTCCTTACTTCCACCAACTCACGACCCGCCACCCCACGTACACTGCAGCCAACCACCCTCACTCTTTCGTAGTCCATTAGTGAAAAGTAAGTTCAATTCAAACGCCTTCTTCCTCCGAGCCGCTACATTGTGGAACCGACTCCCTAGGAGATGCTTTCCCGACCAGTATAACCTCTTCATGTCTAGGGTTAGCCGCGTCCTGGGTATGGCGATAAACAGCATCCGCGTACAGGGTAAGACGATAACCTACATCCGCGTCCTGGATATGAAGATGAACTACATCCACGTCCTGGGTATCACGATAAACAACATCCGCGTTCTGGTAAGACAATAAACTACACCTGCATCATGGATAAGACGATAAACTACATCCGCGTCCTGGGTAAGACAATAAACTACATCCGCGTCCTGGGTATAACGATAAACTAAATCCGAATTCTGGGTATGACGCTAAGCTGCGTCCAGCAGCAGGGCCTCTGAGTGGAAGGTTTTGGAAAGCGTGGTCACACCTCTTAATTGCTGGTGTTTCCAGGTCCACCCTGACCTGGGATGGTAGCACTTAGTTAGGGTCCCAACTGTGGCCAAATATTTAACACCCATACTTGTGTAAAAATAGGTGTTCCAAATTCCGCTCTGAAAGGGAATGGTGGTGCCTATTGGGATCCCAACTATGGGCGAGTAGTTGGCCCCACCCCCAAGTCGTGTCAAAGCATTGTGAAAGCGTAGGGGTGGGTTTTGGTACCAACAATGAATTTTTGAGAAAAAATTATTACCAGCAATAAATTATTACCAGCAATAAATTATTACCAGCAATAAATTATTACCAGCAATAAGTTATTACCAACAATACATTTTGGAAGAAAAAATATTACCAGCAATAAAAATTTTGTCGGTATTAAATAACCGATTGAGTTATTACTACAACGAGTAAGACGAAAGTAATAACGAGTATTTGCAGGTTATTTATAGCCAGAAAATATTTTTAGATTGTAAGAATTTCTTTGCAGGGCGATCATAATGCTTAAGTGATACAAGTCTTAGTCATTAAGCAAGCATAGCAGAAGAGGTACATTCATTCATACACTTCCCAAGAGTGTTTTAGCGTAAAGGAATCTGACGAAGCCAACGGGAATTGGAACTGGGCCCTCCGATTAACAATTCCGTGTTATTATCCATTACACCACCGGACATTCAAACCACCTAGCTTGGTACTGACCATGTTCAACTTCGGTGATCGTACGGGAACCTGTGTTTCAGCGTGATGTGGCCGTAAACCTAATTTATTTCAGCCTCATTGGGTATCTTAATAAACACCGTATAAAAGATCCATTTAACAATTTAAAACAATTAAAACATTTTTTTTAATTTTAAAACAATTTAAAAATCATCATATCAAATTTCAGTTGCATAAAGTTTACATATATTTAAATTCTAAGTATTCTTTTAAGACAAAAATCAAATACACAGAACCGTTTTTTTTTTTTTCTTTAGTTCAAATAACAACGTTTGAATTGTTACGTGAGTGTGTCCGTGCGTGTGTGAATAAAGACACATACATAGGAAAATAGATCTTTTTACAGACAATATTTTATTTATAACTCAGTTTTTACCTCTACCACACACACACACACACACACACACACACATATATATATATATATATATATATATATGTATGTATGTATGTATATGCACACACACACATATATGCGTGTGTGTCTCTGTGTGTGCGAATAAAGACATATATATGAATAAAGACCTTTTATGGATAATATTTTATTTACATCTGAGTTTTTTTACCTACACTATACATATATGTGTGCGTATGCGTGAGTGTGTCCATGCGTGTGTGAATAAAGAAACGTACATAGGAAAAAGATCTATTTACAGATAATATTTTATTTATAACTGAATTTTTGCCTCCACCACACACATACACACACACACACACACACACATATATATATATATATATATATATATATATATATATATATATATATATATATATATATATATATATATATATATATATATATATATATATGCACACACATATATGTGTATGTGTGCATCTGTATGTGCGAATAAAGACATATATATAAAAAAGAAAAATATCTTTTGCCTACCCCCCATAATATATTATATATTATATATATATATATATATATATATATATATATATATATATATATATATATATATATATATATATATATATTTATCAGTCTGTTTTACTCTCTTTTTTTTCTGTACATACATGTGTGTGTGTATATGTGTGTGTGTAAAGTGTACATGCTCTGGCTTTATACGTTTCTTTGCTTTTTAGTCTTTTGTAAATCGGCGTCCATATCCATATCTTTGTGATGTTTTCATTCATTCTTTACTCGCCTTTTTCGAAAAATTGTACGCAAACTTTCACTCAGCATATTAAGAACATAAGAAAAAAAAAGTCCTCGCTTTGACAGTAAATTCTCGCATATTCTCGTGCAGCTCTTCAAAATGTCAGATATCCCTTCTCCGTTGAACGACGCCATGTTTTATTTTTTTTACTTATTCCATAACTTCTACGCTCTTGATGCTGAAATAAATGCAAACATATATTCTGTCACACACACACATCCATACATACATACATATATAAGTACTGATATATATATATATATATATATATATATATATATATATATATATATATATATATATATATATATATATGTGAATGTTTGTGAACGATTCCTTTATGCAGGTATCGATTTTCTGTTTTATTTTAACTTTTTTTACTAGTTTAACAATTATTTTTATTTATTTATCTCTTTCCTGGGAAAAATCAATATTTAACATTTTTGGCGTATGCAAAGGCTTGACTTGATGCTCTTCGCAAAGTGGTGATTTTTATTGAAAAATTAAGGGATTATCGCGATTGTTGCCATGGTTACCAAGACCTTAGGAACTGGATAAATCCCCCCCCCTCTACCAACATTTTTTTTTTTTTTTAAGATAATGCATTCTCATTAAGTCGTAACTTTTGATTTTCCTACTTATTTTTAGTTTCTTTCTTTATTATTTCATATTTTATCATTTAGCACAATAGTTTTTCTTTCTATTTATTTCTTCTCGAAATAAACATTTGGTTCGGTTTTTGTTCTTCATTTTTTTTATATTTTTTTTTCTTTTTTTTTTTCCTTCCTTCAACGGTTCTATTTATTTGAACTAAATTTATTTTCGGAGAATTTTCTTTTTTTTTATTTTTTTTTTTTTTTTCTAAAATTCAAACATCTGCACTTGGTTTCAGAAAATATCAAGTCTTCCCGGAAAACAAATTATATTTGTTTAACTTTATTTGTTTATTCATATAAATTCTCACACCTCGAGATCAAGTGACAACAAGTGTTCTCAATCCACGTGAAAGGGCAAGTGACGTCTGGAATAGACATACCTGTGCAAATTTTGAATTCATTAAAATAAGAGTGCCGGTTCGAATAAACATGCCGCCGAGAATTTCTTTAATATAAGTTTAATATCAAATGTGGAACAAAATAAATAATTGTGACGCGGAGAATTTTTTTTTTCTAATCCTTACCACCTCATCCAAGGCAGTAAAGCCACTGAGACGCAAAGGGTTAAAGGACGTGGAGAAATTAGGAACAGAAACATTAAGATAGTAGATAGCTATTAGCATTGCATTGCATTTAAATTTTTGCAGATTAAAGTTGGCTGAAAAACATGGAGTTCCACAAGCGAGAAGGGTGAGAAAAGAAACTGTTAGCATAGAATTTACGATTACATCCAGTTAGCTCAAATATAAATTGATGGGATCTCTTCGCTTAAATTAAAAAAAAGTCTAGGTACCATAACGAAGGGCCCATTTGAACAATATTTGACAGCAATTGGAAAAATAATAGGCATCCTGTAATAAATAAGGTCCGTACCGGGGGCGGGAAAAGTCATTATAATTTAAACGCGGCGTCACTTTTACTTGATTCACGAATGTATGTAAATGAAAAATGAAGGAGAAATTACAAGCAGAAGACGGAACAGAGAGAAGTAAAGATGGAGAGATAATACGAAGAAAAACGTAGGTAATGACAGAAAATATACGTTATATTTGTTTGATTTTATTTTTTTATTACGGATTATCCCCCAGTCCCTTCCTATGACCCCGTCCTTGAGACCCCAATTAGAGCGATACTGCTAAATACACGTCTGTACCAAATACAAGTGCCGTCTGAAATAGTTAGGCTTTCAAAAAGTAGAACGTACAAAAACTACTCTCGAAAAAAAAAAAAAAAACTTCACCAACAGATCGGTGGAATGTTTTTTTTAGGATAAATTATTACCAGCAATACATTTTGGAAGAAAAACATATAACCAGCAATAAAAATTTTGTCGGTATTAAATAACCTATTGAGTTATTACTACAACGAGCAAGGCGAAAGTAATAACGTGTATTTGTTGGCATTATAAAACTTTTGCAGGTTATTTATAGCCAGAAAATATTTTCAGATTGTAAGAATTTCTTTGCAGGGCGATCATAATGTATTAGTCATACAAGTCTTAGTC